AATGCCAATTTGTGTCCGACCATGAGGTTTACTGAGTTCCCATACCATAACACGTCCGCCACCAAACTGTCGACGTTGAACAACGCACGCGTCAGCACACCGCTCACCCCGCCCTCTGTAAACCCCTGTGCGCTGCCATCTGAGCTGTCCAGATGAAATCTCGACGCGTCAATGAACAAAACACCGACCCGATCTTGTCTCCTGTATCGCAGATGATGCATGCTTCAGGCAAGACGTGCCTGTCGGTGACGTTGGAGCAAATTCGGACGTATTGCAGGCTGTTGGGACCAGATGCTTTGCTCCCTCAGTTGGTTCCGTCGGTTCCAGGAATGGTCCGAGCAGTCAAACTGGCAGTCTGGAATCGATTCTTCAGATGGGTCAGAAAGAATGTGATTATTTTGCTGATGTGACGTCAAACGTTGACGGCCGGTCTGATCCAAATCTCTCGTGTTCCCATTATGTTGAAAACGTCTCCATGGAGATGAGATCGTGTTTCGATGGACACCAAAATATCTGGCCTCTTCTGATTCATTTTGTGCAATTCCAGTCTCCATCATACCCACGGCATGGAGACGCTGATTTTATGTAAACCGTAGAATGACGTAGGCACAATGTAGGTTGAAATTTACGTGTTTTCCTCAACATTCAGAAGCTAGAGAATAATCAACCATTCTTCAATTTTAATACCATGTGTGTGAACTTCAGGTGAACTTTTATTTTATGCAATTTTGTGTTATGCACAGTTACTTTTTTCCTTTAGTATATATTTCCTTTGTGGTTTGAAATCTTAATATCGCTCATTTACTGAGAACTGTAGCTCCGTTTGATATGATTTAAATTACATACCGCTGAAAAATTGCAAAGGATATAATTTTGATGATAATATAATATAGACTGACACATCCCCGTGCATGGGGTAATTGTAACAGGACCTCGTTAGGATGAGAAAGCCACAATAACTCTGTGCACCTAGTGGCTGCAAGAGTTGTATACTACCAAGGGTGTTGAGATTGATAATACGATGTGCCGTTGAGATTGACATCCGATGATAGAGGGAAAAATACCATCGCCTTGAGCATGCACTAGTTGCGTGGACATGTGCACTATATAAATATCCTATATATTTCCCCGTGCATGGGATAATTCCAACAGGACCCCAATGTCACGATGAACGAACAGGGTCATGTAGTCATGGACCTGATGTGCATGAGGTGCTTGGAAGTATGTGTTCTGATGCATGGCTGACAGACTCGACATAAAGGGGAGCACAACACAATTTGTTTCTGATGGCAAAACAAATTTCGATGACAAAGATAAACGTGAATTGTTGGCAGTTGCACCTTACCGAATCCACATCGAATGTGAAGTTTGCCACAGACAATTTATGTTTGTAAGCAGCTTGAGTATTCTGTTTCATACGTTAACCCTGTATTCACCAAGACACATTTGCTTTTAGTGGGCTCAGGTTCCAATCTTCTACCAAAACTACGACTGTCATTTTCAAATTTCACCTCTCTCCATATCTCTGTTATCTGACAAAAGAAAAAAATGGGGACTCTTGTAATTTTGGTTATCACTTCTCTTTATATGTGTAAGGTTCCTGTCCACAAGGACGTTTTGGGGACTCCTGTAGCTACTCCTGCAACTGCGGCTCGTCTTGTAACAGTACAACAGGAGTTTGTGCTGGCGCCTGTGATGTTGGATGGAGGGAAGGACATGGGTCACTCTGTCAAAAGAGTAAGTGGGGATAACTCCTACAGATGTCATTTGTCTGGAGGGCATTTGGTTTGTGTTTTCGAGACTTGCAGTTGTCATCAATCCGATTATACAATAAACTACATTTTAAATATTCTTCCGAAGGCATTCGGTAAGTTTAATTTAACTCTTTGTTTCTTTAATTAAACCTTTGAAACAAGTTTTGTCATAGAAGGGTTGGAGATCCTGTTTCCCTTTTGGTGAGTCTCATTGCATTTTCATTAATAAGATAACGCATGTATTAAACACTCATATTGTGTAAGCGTCCATTTAATGATTGTACCAAACATACCGTTTCCAGTTCATTAAACAGTTGAAATCTTTCAGAAAATGTTGCCTACGGAAAACAAGCATCAGGTTCAGGAGACGCATACCTCTCAAGAGGTTGGACTCCAGAGAAAGCTGTGGACGGGAACAGAGACCAGGACGTAAACAACCGCTCCTGCTATCATTCAAGTGACTACCCGACCTTCTGGTGGGTGAACCTGGCTACTATGTACAGAATAAACTCCGTCAGGATCTACAACAGGGCTGGATGTAAGTCGTTATCACCCCATAGCAATGCTGAGACTCTCTCTGTGACTCTCTTTCTTTGAAAAATATGACAATACCGATAATCAAAGCATAGAAGTGCGTCACTTCGTAGAAGTCAAACATGTATCTGCCTGTTAATATTATCTTAAGTTACATTACCACATCAGCCAGCCGATTGCTGAGGATGCTTTTGAATGTGAACATTTAACTAAGTTTAGCATGGTTAATACCGTTGTGTTATGTCTAAGGTTCAGATGGCATGTTAAGACTTTTAAACCGTTTTTGGACATGTTAAAAATTTAAAAGGTTTTGGGAGGCTCATTAGTCATTAAACTCTTGGCACATTTAAAGATCCGCATAGACTGGCAAACTGCAGCATCTCTGTTGGACTAAGCCCTGACTCGACAGACGTCTGCTACACTTTTCCATCGAATCCCAAGGACATCTCTGACGTCATAGACCTGACATGTAACGGAGAAGGGAGATTCTTCATCATCAGGAACCCAGGCAGAGCTCCTTCACTGGATGATTCCCTAAATATATGCGAGGTGGAGATATATGGTAGGTGTTATTCCTTCAATTACTTTCATACTATATATTGTTGTTATGAAATATAAAGAAATATCTGTGACAAAATGTGTACCACATTGTGACACTGTATTCTATTTTCCAGTTTGTTCAGAAGGAACTTTCGGCCCTAATTGTAGCGAGTTCTGTCACTGCCTGAACTCAACGTGTGACCACGTGACAGGGAAGTGTCCCGGTGACTGCCGCCCAGGCTGGAAGGGGCAAAACTGTTCCACACGTAGGCAACATGAACTGACTTGCCACCTGCCTTGCTTAATCACAATATCAATCACACATATCCTTCCTCTCTGCCTGTTTGTCTCTACCCCAGCTCTCCCTCCTCTCTGTGAGTCTCTCTCTCTCTGTGATGTAAATACATACACATATATCTAACCATCCATCCTCCTAACAAACCGTGCGTCTGTCCATCTCCATCTCCCATCCATCATCTATCTATCTATCTGGCTATCTATCTATCTATCTCTGTGTGCCTGTTACCTGTGCGTGTACGTATGTTCAATATATCATCAATGATAACACATAAGAAACTGATATTGTTTACGGATAACAACTTATTTTATTATATATGATGCGACGTTTTGGTATGGATTCTTATACCGTTGTCACTCAATCGGTATAAGAATCCATACCGAAGCGTCGCATCAAAAATTATAAAAAAAGCTGTTATCCATAAATAATCTTACTTTCTTATTAGTCACCAACTTCTAAATGCCAATCAAACAGATCATGATAACACATATCGATGTTATTTACACAATTAGTATAAATGATATCAGGTGTTTCATATACCCATCCCAACAGACAGACAATAAGGAAATTTAAATAGAATAGAATTTTAAAAAAGAAATCTTGGATGGGAAACCCTACAACTTAAGAGAGCTAGGGCCAGAGCCACCTTCTTTTACAAGGTTATAAACAACATCATTGCTACCGATCTCCACATATATATCCATGGAGTTGACTATCGCACAAGAGGATCATCTAATAACAACATTGCACAATTAAGGGGGAAATGAGAGCCCTTCATACAAAGCTTCGTTCCTAGGACAGTCATTATGTGAAACGGCATACCACCAACAATCAGACTATCACCAACCGTAGCTTCGTTCCAGACATCGCTCAGGGCTGAACACGTCTTGACCGAGCGACTATATCTCACTCTATCTTAACTGTTTGAAAAACACAAAAATATGTTGCAAACACACGTTCGCTTTTAAGGAAACTTAAACCATAAACATATTGACTGTGTGGTGCCACCCTGGCAGGCTGCGTAGCACACACAACGCTTGAACACTTACACCCCTTGTGGGGCTTGTTCCTTCACGGGAAAAGAGACAGTGAATATTTAGATAGAAGTTCCTCTAAAACATTTATCTCTCTGTCAGCATCGCAAGTCACACAACTTACATTTCTTAGGTTCAGGACATGGAGCTGACACTTCCATGTGTATTTACCTTGCCAACATTATAACGATAAGTTGATTATTCCAGGCTGCTCCCGTGGGTCGTCATATGGTATAAACTGCAACAAATCCTGCTCCAACCGGAACTGTATCAGTGAGAGTTCGTCATGTGATCCCCGCAGCGGGTCATGTGACAGTGGATGTCGAGCTGGATGGAGAGAATCTGACTGCACACAAAGTGAGACACGTACATCGTGAAATGAAACAGACTGAAACATATTAACATTAACTGTCCCATAAGGCAAAATTGTGTATTCAACCTTTTCTTTCATTTCAATGTACGTTTGAAAACTGTTTTATTATAATAGATCCATTGTTAATATGAAATAAAAGTCCTTGTCTGATTTCATTATGATACATACGCAGAAATGTTTTCTTTATTGTCTATATATAAATTCTCTAACAGAATGTGACAGTCTTCACTATGGGAACAACTGCAGCCGAAAGTGTGGAGAACGACACTGTGCCCTCAACACTTCCTCCTGTGATCATGTGACTGGGGCATGCGACACTGGTTCATGCCAAGCTGGATGGAAGGGAGGTACATGCACTGAAGGTGGGTACATTCCACACCTAACATTTGAAATATTAGATTAATTTCAAATACATTCGGACACATGGCATTTGTGATTATATTATCATCATCGCATTGAACGTGGTATTGAGGAGCACATAACGTTAAATTAAGAAGCGAGGACGAGTGCCCAATCGTTCCAGGCACCGCAATTCGCTGTGATAATCAGAAGCATCATAACGTGGTTGGAACCGTTGTCGTTCCGATTATGTTTAGGTTTTGCCAGCTTCATAGCTATGCTCGGGGTTTTCACCAAAGGGGAAACCGTCTAGCATTAGCATCCCCCAGGAGTCTCCTCCCACATTTAGCTGACATGATAAGTCCGAAACACTGTTCAAACCAGTGTCAATCCAAACTTACACGCACTCTTATATCTCGGTACTTTGAAGATTCACTTTGGTGTGAAACATTTTAAGTTCCCTAACTTCAGTACCTGAGTTAATTTCACTAGTTACTAATATCTGTTACATGACAGCGAAATAATTTGAAGTGGGTCTTTAATTTCACCCAATTAAATGGCCAGTAGTGGTCAAATGGTGCCTAAGTTGCACAGATAGAAGTGTATCTTTAAAACCATGAAGTCAACATCAGAATTATTATCATTAGGAGCATGTTATCGACGAGTACTTCATATGTTAGATATGGTGACCTACCTTCAGTAGCTGGTGATCTCCAGCCGGTTTTTTATATTGTATTTTCCATAAAATGTGTTTAATTTTACAGTTACATGCAGGTTAAATTCTCTACCTGTTTTAATTCTCTACCTTTATATAATCTAGTTATTTTATAGCCGAAATATTGCCGATGAGACTAGAAATCTTAACTCACTCACTCACTTTATACGTCAGAAGACATATACGTTTAAAACCCCAAAGTCAACATCAGAAGTATTATCGTTAGGAACATATTACCGAAGAGTACTTCAGATGTTAGAAGATAGATGTACCTTTAACACCATGAAGGCAACATCAGAATTATTATCATATGCATATTATCAAAGAGTACTTCATATAATTACAGTTACGTTGATGTTTGAGTTTTTCATACCCTTATTTGTATGCATATCCACTGAGTTGTGGATCCACCGTGTTTGTTGTGGTTTGCCGTTTTATGTAGAATCATATAGTCACTATCAATATTATGAGGTCCACCACAAAGGCCGAAGTTGGATCAAAGTGTTTGAACATTGACTTTGGTGTTGGAGCATATCCTCCCATTATTGCGTGTGCAACCACCTGCTACAGAATGTACCAATGGCACATACGGCCCCAACTGTCTGAAGAAGTGCGATGACAGACACTGTGACGGTACTTCAAGCTGCCCCAGGGTTGACGGGGGATGCACCACTGGATGTGACAAAAGGTGGGCAAGGCCGGACTGCTCTGGTAAGTAACAAGGTGCTGTAGTAGCTAAGGAGAGTGAGATGATGCACTCTGAGAATGACAGTGATATGTGAAACATACGACTGTACGAGAGCAATCTCTACTACTGAGTGACGTGGTGTTTACACCGCGCTCTTCAATATCCCAGCTATATGTCGGTGGTCTGTAAATAATCGAGTCAGGCCAGAACATCCAGCCATCAACAGCATGAGCATCGATCCAGTCAACTGGGATACGATGACACATGTCAACGAGCCTTGCACCCTCTTACGACAAACATGGGAACGAAACTGATCTTGAGTAGATAATGTATCCGTAGCATATCATATTTTTCAATAGTAGACATCGTATCCCAATTGCGTAGATCGATGTTCATGCTGTTTCACTGGATTGTCTGGTCCAGACTCGGTTATTTACAGACCGCCGACATATAGCTGGAATATTGCTAGGTGCGATGTTAAACAACGAAGAAACAAACCCAAGGAGTTTCGTTGAATTGTTATAGGGTCATGAATCCATAATAACGCCAAGTAAAGCGTGAAGATGATATCCTTTTGTACGGATGCCTATGATATTGATGAATTGAATGTTGATGATAACAGGCTTCCGAAGCCTTGGTCATTATGACGAACGGTTTGTTGGCCGATTAAACAGGACAAGCGCATCTGTGTCTTCCTTCTTCTTGTGTCCGTCACTTTTCTCAAATTCGAATACTATCTATAGTAATCCATTGTGAAGGACGGCATTCAATCACTATACTATTACTTTTAAATAATGACTGACTTAAAATTTTTTATTGCTGCAGATTGTACCACAGGCTTCCACGGTCCTGAGTGTATTGAGTGTGGTCACTGTGCTACCAACACTACCTGTGACTCTACGACAGGTGAATGTGGTTCTGGCTGCCTGGAAGGCTTCACTGGATTACAATGCAAAGGTTTGATATTTTATTATACTTTGTTGATAACGGATAAAGGATTGGATAAACAAAGAAATCACTTACGGTTCCTTCTCTAGGAACACCCCGTAAACATGGTACTATACTGATATGGCAATTTAAAAAAACAACACCTTCACTCACTCCTGACATATATTGGTTGAAGTTCGACCATTAGTTCGTATCAACAGATTACAAAATCAGTGAAAGTTATCAATTTCATAATGTTTTAGATGGCGTCGGTGAATGTTCAATAATATACCTCTGCTTATGTGCATACACTTGCACCATAAGCCAGATGAACAATGTTTGCTTTCTTCTTTGACCTAGAGTCTGTGGGCAACGGATCGTCTGTCGCCGGCGCTGTGGTGGGAACGTTACTCCTGTTACTTATCGCTGTTATCATTGCTGTCGTTGTATTCAGGTGAGTGAAGCGTGTGAAGTAAGTATTGTATTGTGTCATTGTATCATTGTATTCACGTGTGTGAAGCGTGTGTAGTTCATTGTGTCATTGTATTCGGATATGCGCAGCGTGTCTACCTCATTGTGTCAATGTATTCAGTCAGGTGTGTGAAGCGTATCTACCTCATTGTGTCAATGTATTCAGGTGCGGGAAGCGTTTCTACTTTATTGTGTCCATGCATTCACGGGAGCTAAGCTAGTCTATTACATCATTGTGACTAGGTGGGTGACGCTTGTCCACAAGAGATACTTCGTATTCAAGTGAGTCAGCCCGCCTCCTTCACTGCATTTGTGTCAATGAAAGTCTGCTTCAGTATGTAATTCGGTCTGGTGAACGTTCTACTTCTGTCTATGTGTTCAATACTGATTCACACTGGTTCATGTTTTGTTTGGAGTCCATGAAGGGCAAACGTTGCTGACAGTTTTCTAATACAACTACTGAACAACAACAATATTATACAGTTATCATTTAAACATGATTTCAGGTGGCGAGGGAAACATTCCAGCTCTGTCAGAGGTCACCATGCCGTCTTCAATCAAAAGGAAAGGCAGAAGGGTAAGTATATGTAAACACATGAATTTGCATTGGGCGCGACAAGTCTGTAAATAATCGAGTCTGGAACAGACAATGCAGTAATCAATAGCATGAGCATCAGTCGGGATACGATGACATATGTCAACCATTCTGACCACCCGATCCCGTTAGTTGCCTCTTACGACAAGCATGGGTTGCAGAAGACCAATTCTAACCCAGATTTCGACGGGTCTGCTAATGATACAATTGCGTTCTACATTTAGAGGAACGTCATCTTTATATTCTATGTTAAGAACCAGACACCTGGAAACTAAAATATTGAAACAATAATGTTACAGATGTTTATGTTTGTGATGCGGAAATACAAGTAAATAATTAAACATACGAGTTTATGTCTTTATTCGTCTGAAACTTTTGATTTACTCGTTACTTCGATTACTTTCTCGAATTTGGTTGGTTAGGGAAATAACAAGAAAAATATCCAATGCAAGAAGAATATAATAATGAATTTGTGTGTTTAATGAAACTTAACTTAAAGAAGTAACATGTCTGGAGCGACCTCAGAAATCCGCCCTCGAAACCAGCGAAAGTTCAAACAAACTTGAAACTTGAGGTTTTAAAAAGGCTTGAAATAACGAAAACATTACCAAATTACCAAATTATAATCAGAGCATCGAGAACGTTTTGTCGAAAAATAATTAAAATGAGGAGAAATGTCATTATAAAATACTAGTAAATGATTTCTGCAACTTATGTGGCGTTTTGTTGTGGCTGCTTTCCATGGTTCCACCTGTGCAGTATCCTTTTGTTGTGGCACCATGTGTCCTGAATGATTACTTTCACTATTTAATCACGATTCCCATGAAACAAGCATCCTTTGAAGAAGCATCCAGACCAGTTACTAAAATGTAATATTTCAGGGATAGTTTCGACCATGATTGATGTATAGATGTAAACTTGCAATGGATACATGATCTTTCAGGTGATGACAACGTTTACATGAACGTGGACGTCGACACTTTCCCCATCTATGCGACTCCCAACGTCAAAGCCAAAAAAGGAAAGTCAGGGAGTATAGACACTCTTGATGCAGACACGAGAAGTGTTGACACTCTTGATGCAGACAAGAGAAGTGTTGACGCTCTTGAGGTAGAGAGCGACGAGGAGGAAGAGTACCAGATATACCTGAGGTGAACTACTACAACATGGAAGATGTTGCATCGAGACACGTCGTCCCTGTTGCTGACCTGGAGACCACCATCAGGAACATGGACGACAACTCAGAAATGGTTGAGGAAGAATTTAAGGTAAATGCATCTTCCTTTGCAAGTGTCCTATGCCTGAATAACATCAATGCAATGCCTTGTTATGTGACAGTAGGCGTGTCCGGAATAATGAATGAGGGCTCCAACACAGAATGTTCTTTATTGAAGTGCTGAACTAACACCTCTTTGAAATTTAGTCTCACATTTACCATAATCTGTTCAAAGCTGCAAAAAATACAAAAATACTCACCAAATGATGTTATTTTCCAGCGTTTACCCGATGGATTCGTGCATCCGTGTGAAGAGTCCAGAAAGCCTGAAAATACGAAAAAGAACCGATTTAAAGGATATTACCCATGTAAGGGACACTTGCTACTACTTCAAGAGATGCTATTGTAAAACTGCCAACTGTGTATAGATGTTATGTGGATCGATCAGCTATTTGTAATGCTGAAAGGCAAAAGAAACGTTGTAATGTTGGTGACATTTCAGTATTAATGGAGTATGTGAACCTATTTGTTTCAAAATATATCCCGGAAGCCAAGTTTGAGGAAAACATGAATCGTGGTCGTATAGCCTGTATTGTCAAACAAAGTATTGTCTGAGATTGAGGTTTGAAATGCTTTTTGTTTGAACCGATTTAAGAACGTGCATCTCGATTTCAATGCTGTGTTTGTGCAAACTCGTCCCTTTTCTCAAACAAAAACATTTCAAACCTCATTCTCAAACAATCCTTTATTGGCCAAAACAGGCTATACGACCAGGATTCATGTTATCCTCAAACTTGACTTCCGGTGTATATTAACAAAAAATAGGTGCAAATACTCCATTGATACTTAAATGTCATTTCCATATTATGACGTTTCTTTTGCCTTTCAGTTTATTTCTTAATTTCCTATTTAACCCAGATGACCATAACCGGGTGATGCTGCAGGATGACCGTGATGGCCGTAGGGGAGACTACATCAACGCCAGCTTCCTGGACGTGAGTTAAACTGAGATGTCGAGTTGGTACACCTGCAATCCTGAGAGAGTATCAAGTGCAATGTACAACTGGCGTTTAGTTTTTTTCTCAAATTACGAAAAGTATCCAAACATGGAATGAATATCAGGTAAAAGATGTTTCATTGAATATGTTGCAAGGATTTTCCAGGAACGTGGCTTCCTGAATGTGCTCAGTTTATGATGATATTTGACTTTGGAAATATGAATACTTTTTATTGTGTTTTATTCTACAGGGCTACAAGAAAGAACGGTATTACATAGCAGCTCAAGGTATGACATTCATGTTCCTTGCTTTTCTATACATTGGTTTTGTGACAGAAACGCTTTACCTTCAGTTCGACACAAACATTGAATCTATCATATCCTTTCAGTCATTTTAATGCCTTTAGACAATGACCAATTTGATCTTTGGACATGGTGTCATTACGAGTGTACTTGCTGATGTGGATTTGTTGATGTGTCTTTGGTACAGGTCCTTACAAACCCAACATCGTCGATGACTTCTGGAGGATGATCTGGCAGGAGGGTGTTAAGGTGGTTGTGATGGTGACCAGCTTAGTCGAAGGTGGAAGGGTAAATATTTAAAAAGTAAACTGTAGCGATATGTTGAGATATATCTTTCATACTAAATGTTCTAATTATAACTATCCGAAATATTCTGTCTTTTAATTATAGTTTTTGGTTAACAAACTGTTTATTGCAACTGTTTCTTTACGACTGAATTTGAAGCTTTAAGGATGCGAGTTTTGCAATGTAGCATTGGAGCTATGATTTAGAATAGATGTGCCTGTTGTAATTCGTAGATGAAGTGTTTACAATACTGGCCGGAGGAAGGAACACAAGAGTATGGCGGCATTACGGTTACCATGGAAACAGTGAACGAACTGTCGGACTTCACGATCAGGAAGTTGACAGCCTCTAAACAGAAGGTACTGTCACGTCTTATTTGTTATGGTACGCTTTACCCAACCTTAAGACAGCGCTAACAGTTTGACATCATAAGCCTCGAATTATGCAATTGAATACGATGAAATGTATCAACCTGACCAATAGATCGAGTTAGTTCCTGTTAAATTGAACTCTGATTTACCTTAAATGCTTATAACTTGATAGTGTATGTGAGGTGAGGTGAAATTGGGTTTAACGTCGTGCTTGAGAATATTTCGCTCATATGACAACATGCATGTGTGTGTATGTGTATGTGCGGCTGTTTGTACTAGCCCAGACTGAAGCTGATTTTATAGTGTTAGCCCACTGAGACATCATGCCGCAGTGAAGCATGAATACGCCACTCAGACACATTATACTGACTCCGAGCCGACCAGTCCTTTTTGTACCCATTAATGCCGAGCGCCAGGCAGGGACCAACAAGTACCATATTTTAACGTCTTTTGGTATGACACGGTCGGGGATCGAACCCGCGACCTTCCGCTCTCCGGGCGGACGCTCTAACCACTACTAGTGTATGTGCCTCACCCTATTGTGCATCGTGAGTACAGTTGTGGCCAGATTGTAACAGGTAGTGTCGTGTATATTTGCTTCCACAATTTAATTTCCCAAGTTTACTTTTGCGTTTCAATTAGGAGAACATGCCCACACAGTATACATGCCAATACCATGTATGGCGTGTATACCCTTATATATATATATATATATATATGTGTGTGTGTGTGTGTATGTGTGTGTGTGTGTGTGTGTGTGTGTGTTGACGCTGAATTAACAACGGTAATAAATATTTTATATAGTAGTTATACCTGATATAAATGTGCGTATGTATGTATGTATGTATGTATGTATGTATGTATGTATGTATGTATGTATGTATGTATGTATGTATGTATGTATGTATGTATGTATGTATGTATGTATATGTATGTATGTATGTATGTATGTATGTATGTATGTATGTATGTATGTATGTATGTATGTATGTATGTATGTATGTATGTATGTATGTATGTATGTATGTATGTATGTATGTATGTATGTATGTATGTATGTATGTATGTATGTATGTGTGCATGTATAGTATGTATGTATGTATGTACGTACGTACGTGTATGTATGTGTAGTTGCCTTTATGATGTGCATAGTATTTATACATGCGTATGTTGTGTATGGATGTATGTGTATTCATGTATGAATTATACTTGAATGGTGTATGTTTCTATAACTGTCGACACACTAATGATCAAGTGTTGCTCCAAATGCGCCAGTTACAAGATTTTCTTGACTCGACCTTCTTGTTTACAGACCTCCATCAATGTATGGCAATACTGATTATGTTTCTAGAAATCCATGAATCGACAGATCTACCACTTCAACTTCACCTCATGGCCTGATCATGGCGTACCCAATGCGTTTTCTCTGCTGGAATTCATGTGGCGAGTCAAAGGCATCTGTGGCCGACCCGCCGAACCCATCATAGTGCACTGCAGGTGTGGTGTGCATTTTCCCGACGGATCGACCAATATAATGCAGGCATTTGTTGAGCGAGTGAGAGAATTTAATTTTTACACCATACTCTGCAATATTCCAGCTATATGGCGGCGGTCTGTAAATAATCGAGTCTAGACCAGACAATCCAGTCATCAACAGTATGCGCATCCATTTACGCAACTGAGATACGATGACATTCGTCAACCAAGTTAGCAAGCCTGACCACCCTGTCCTGCTAGTAGCCTCTCACGACAAGCATGGGTTACTGAAGATCAATTCTAACCCGGATCTTCCATTTCCATTCAACAGTCTGATCTTTTTAAGACATTACTGGGAAAATTGTTTTTTCAATCCAACACAATAGCCGTCTCAGGTAATAACATGGCAAAAAGTGTCAAAAAGGTACATCAACTGGAAGATCCATGTTTATACAGAAGGAATATTTTCATAAATCCCCTTACTCTGCATTAATATACTTTCAAATTTGCTTTGTGCTGCTCAGTGCTGGAATAGGAAGAACAGGCACATACATAGCTATAGAGAGTCTTCTGGATCAGGCAGCGGCTGAAGACGCTGTGGACGTCGTCAGCTTCGTCTCCAACATGAGAGGGCAGAGGAAGGGCATGATACAAACTTCGGTTAGTGGTTCGTTTGAGTATGTATCAGTATCATCACATTGGTGCTTCTTCTCTCTCCCGTGGCGATCCTGCTAAGAGTAGTTTCCAAGTATGTCTCATGAGGTTCTGTGACGGGATGGTTTTGTGTCATCGTGCCCCGGTAGCATGGACAGATGCTCCTTCTTTCAAAATGTAAATGTTACAGATGGAATATGCCTGCAACTCAAAGCATCATTCTTTCTCCCCCTTATCCGCACACTCAGTGGGAATGGTATTTCTTTTCTTTATAATTTGGTGACTGAGTTTAGTTTTACGCCGCTTTTAGCCATATTCCAGCAACAGCACCTTGGGGAACACCAGCAATGGACTTTACACATTGTACCCATGTAGGGAATCGAGCCCTGGTCTTTGGCATGACGAGAGTACGCTTTAACCACTAAGCTACCCCAACGTCCCTTATAATTTAGTTTCCGCACAAATCGGGGATAATGACCACAAATACAAGCATTACAGTTACATCTGTACTGTGTCCTACAGCAGAAAATCCTAACGTTATTCGTGGTAGCATGGCATTTGTGGTACTGAATCGCATATCCACAGGACCAGTACGGGTTTGTGTACCGGGCGGTGACTTCAGCTGTGGTGACTGGCGATACGTCAGTGGATGGGGATACGATCAGGAACATCGACCTGATCAACCTTGGCACCGTGGCCCTGGGGAACAGAACTGTTGAGGAACATCTACAGGTAAAGAACACTGTGATGGTTAAACAGTTGAACGTATTGCCCAAAGCTGGAATATGATGGATATATGAAAATATGGACTACAAAATCGTAGCCTCGGTAAATATGGCATGAATAATATGTATGATATGACTCAGTATATGCTGTGAATACTCAGGAAAGATGCAATGGTGTATTTAGATATAGGATATATGCATAGTATAGGACTAACATCCAAGGCACAAATTCTGAACCATAAACAACTGTGTATACTAACATCAATGTTTGACGTTTCTCTTGTAGGCTTTGGAGTCTGTTCCAGTCAGTAAGTATGGACAAAATAATATACGGAACTGCTGTAATTAGCATAAATTTTAATTTGGATTCAAAACTATTTTTCAACTGCAATATAAAATTGTCTTGTTCTGTGTGTATCCATACTGAGCTGATCAAACTTACAGAAAAGTGTTGTTGTTTTTAGAAACCAAGAAGAAGCGGACAGTACTGATGCCAGTGAGTGAGAAATCCATGTATATGGAACATGTTGTATTGTTTGCTATCTTCAATCAATCTTTATTCAGTACTTAAAAAGGCAACAGGCCGGTAGTACATGAATAGTTAGAAGTAATTTACAAATTATTTTCTATATAACAATCCCTTTTTTTAAGCTCATAGCGAAATAGATGCACATTGCCAGATTCTGTAATAATAATGTGGTAGTATCTGCTAACAATGACATTAATTTTCTTACACTTGCACGCTTATAATAATATGGCTTTAGGTATTTCGTTCGTAGAGTCGTATAAACAGGACAGATTGGAGAAAAATGTAGTTCATCCTCAACATTATTCATATTACATAATTGAAAAATTCTACTATCTTATTCCATAAATACGTCTACAGTCTTCTAGTATTCTAGTATTCTAGAGCTTTATGCAACTATTATGAACGTCTAAAGAAAATGCAGTTACACACCATCACATAGTGTTAAGTTGGTTTCATTGTGTTCAAGTCCTACAGGTGCAGGTATGGTTTCTTCCTCCTGGTGGCAGATGAGGACAAGGAGAATCTATGGGCTCACGTCTGTAATAGCAACAGCTGCACTGTTATCACACTCGGAAAATCCTCTAAGGTAAGTAGTCTCTTTACACTCGTACAAGACACTCAATGTACACCCAGGCCAGTGTCCTTACATTCGCACTGTGCACCCCGGTCAGCCTCGTTACGCTCGGACTATACACCAAGGTCAGGATCCTTACACACGAGCAATACAGCTAGGTCAACACCAAGGTCAGACTCCTTACACACGAGCAATACAGCTAGGACTCTCACCACCAAGGTCAGGCTCCTTACACACGAGTAATACAGCTTAGTCAACACCAAGGTCAGGCTCCTTACACACGAGCAATACAGCTAGGTCAACACCAAGGTCAGGCTCCTTACACACGAGCAATACAGCTAGGTCAACACCAAGGTCAGGCTCCTTACACACGAGCAATACAGCTAGGTCAACACCAAGGTCAGGCTCCTACACAGAGTCAACACCAAGGGTCAGGCTCCTTACACACGAGCAATACAGCTAGGTCAACACCAAGGTCAGGCTCCTTACACACGAGCAATACAGCTTAGGTCAACACCAAGGTCAGACTCCTTACACACGAGCAATACAGCTAGGTCAACACCAAGGTCAGGCTCCTTACACACGAGTAATACAGCTTAGTCAACACCAAGGTCAGGCTCCTTACACACGAGCAATACAGCTAGGTCAACACCAAGGTCAGGCTCCTTACACACGAGCAATACAGCTAGGTCAACACCAAGGTCAGACTCCTTACACACGAGCAATACAGCCAGGTCAGCCTCCTTATACTCAGAAAATATACCCAGATCAGCCTCCTTACACTCGGAAAATTCGCGTAGGTCCGTTTCTTTACACTCGGACCATACAATCAGGTCAGGCTTCTTATACTCGGACTATACACCCAGACCAGCCTCCTTATACCCAAAGAATACACCTGGACATTGTAAAGTGCGCGGTTAAACGGAGTTAAAAGGAGCTATTATTTAAGTAAACTTCATTTATTGCACCGTTGGCTCTGGGTTGGTGATGCCTGTGAACCTACATCTGTGAGCTTCATAACACATCATCAACCTTGGTTACATAGACATATGATAGACACGTAGAACCATTACTGCTCAAATAGGTGATTGTTTCATTTCTCTTACAGGGTTGTATGCCGACTGGAAACGATCCAATTGCCACTGCCAGGCAGACGGCCACGCTTAAGAGCTCTAACATCATAGCGGACGACATCAAACTTGACTCAATAAACAGCAGTTTGAAGGTAAACAGCAACATTCGGTAAAGGTTAAAGTAACTGCAGTGTTAGATTCACTGACCACATGTAACAGTAGTGATCAAACTAGTTCACCCAATGCCTCATGTAATGTAAGAAAGGGATTGTTTTCGTATAACGAATTAGTCACGAAATACTGCCAATGTGACTTTAAATTTAACTCACTCACTCACTCGTGTAACGGTGCATGATTGAAATATAGCAAACATATACTAAAATCACAGACCGACATCCTAATATTCACTCCCTGTTACAGGACGGTTCAGGTTTTGAAGTACGACACTATCGCCTGAAAACCGGTGTCAACAGTCCTAACGTGGGTGTCATGATTGAAAGCTTACTTCAGTGGACATCTGACCCAAATCGACGGCGATGCACCATCATTTCCAAGTACGTGAATGAACCTGGCATTCGCTGCCACCTGTATAATTACATGTGATCTGTATACACTGGATAGCTATGGTTTGGGAAGGTTTTGGAATCGAGGATGTGGAATGCATCCCTATTGCCATACTTTCGCATGATTCTCTCATATGTTGCTTCGTGAAATCTTCAGTTGGCAGCTGTTTGCAAGTGCATATAGCAGTGTGCTATGTGGGGTGGTAACACTGCTCCTTTGTGAATATGTCTCTGCCCTTGACATCTTGTCTCTGCCCTTGACGTCTCATGTTTTCTGTAGCTCCATGAGCGAGTCGCGTCTGCTGGTCCTACTGATGAACATCGCCAGCAGACTGCAGGACGACGGCAGAGTGGACGTCATCAGCAACATGCGACGTCTCTACCGGGAAGTAGGACAAACCTTCTTTACGGAGGTAAGATCTGGCTTATACGCAATGTAGAAAGTATGAAACTGGATATGTTAATAGAAAATTAAAACGCATTTCTGGAATATATATATTGTTCAAAGTACCGAATTTCATCTATACGTGTACAACCCTTTGGATCTCTGAAGACGGAGTCCATAATATGGTGATCTTTCTTCAGTTGTTGGCGATCTATAGCCCATTTATATACTGTATTGTCTTAATTTGGAAAGAGAGATGTTAGTTTCTTGAAACTGTGATATTCTCGTTGACATGTTTTTATAAACATGTATTTAAAACTTGTTTTAGTCACGATATGGCTGAAATATTGCCGATGAGACTTTAAACTTCAGCTCACTCACTCACATTGAAGATGGAATACTAGAACCTATGATATTAAGAAACTTTGGTGTAAAACCTTTAATAATAACGTTCAGTGTACAACCTGCATTACGTTGGTCTCGTCTTACAGATATACTATTCTAAGCAGCGTTAATTGAAAAGCTTGATCATTCATAATATGAGCTGGATCGAGCATTGCATTTCTAAATAGTTTGTGAATGGTATCAATGATATGTATTCACTGTCTTCCATTTTTTTCTAGGCCGACGTCAAATGTGCTCTGAAATTCGCCCAACTTCAGATTGAGAACCTTGGAATATACGCCAATCTCTAGCCTAATGAAACTGCGACACGGGTAGATCCAGAATATCAGCTGCTTCTGCTATATTGCGGTTCAGTATTAATACTTATACAGTTAATCTTACCTTGCATGTAGTTGTTTTGGTCAATCACTTTTTCATCTCGTATACAACCGAAAATATGCTGTCATGACACGATATGTTTTTATAAAGTGCATTGAAAATCGAACTTTGGATTGGTTAAGGAACGGGCACATATTTTCAATGTGGCCCGCATGTCAAGCCTGTTTATGTAAAGGGAAATAACTCAGTCCATTTAGTTGTTCGCTTCGAGATTGCCTATTCAGTGAAACCTATATTCTGAATGAATGGAGCAATGCGTGTCCGTGAGATATAGTCGTTGTTTACAGATACTGTACGTATATGGTGTGGTGGACCTTGTGTGTGAATCTGTATACAACCTATAGGCCCACAGAGCCGGGTTCGAATTGGTCTTTAGCAACCCATGCTTGCTGTAAGAGGAGACTAACAGGATTTGGTGGTCGGACTTGGTTGACCCATGTCATCGGTTCCCAATTGGGTAGATCGATGTTCATGCTGTTGGTCACGGGATTTGGTGGTCGGACTCGCTGACCCATTTGGGTGGATCGATGCTGCTTGGTCACTAGATTGTCTTGTCCAGACTCAATTATTTACAGCCCGCCGTAATATAGCTGGAATATTGCTGAGTGCGGCGTTAAACAACGAACAAACAAACCATACATGTAGCCCCACAGACACGGTACATATCATCATATGGCTCCTACAACTTACAGTTCCGTGATTCGATCCCATCTAGTGTATATGAAGTAAGATTACCATTGTGATAGTCATACATGTAGCCCCACAGACACGGTACATATCATCATATGGCTCCTACAACTTACAATTCCGTGATTCGATCCCATCTAGTGTATATGAAGTAAGATTACCATTGTGATAGTCATACATGCTATAAAATATATATTGTGGATACTATCAGATTTTATTGATCACGTATACAGTGAGTGAGTGAGTTTAGTTTTACGCCGACCTTAGCAATATTCCAGCTGTATGGCGGCGGTCTGTAAATATTCGGGACCATACAATCCAGTGATCAACAGCACGAGCATCGATCTATGCAATTGGGATACGATGACATGTATCAACCAAGTCAGCGAGCCTGACCACCCAACCCCGTTAGTCGCCTCTTACAAGCAAGGTTTGCTGAAGACCAATTCTTACCGAGGTGTATGATAATGAGAGAATCTGTGAATCAACTTACAACTATGGAGAAATTATTTTGCTTGATGGCAATAGTGAATAATTGTTTATATGTATTTGAATGAAATGTATGCATTGTAAATATTGATTAGTATAAAATGACAAATAAAAACAAATGAGCACCAGTATATATGTGTGGGCGTATTTGTATATTGTAAATCTACGTCTATATACGTGGTAGACATAGAGCCTGCATTTGAATATGTTTTGTGTGTTCTTTTTTCTACAGTTGTTCTAGAGTTTACTAATTGATCCCCTTTGCATTTACATTGTATTTGAAAGCTTTATTTGTGCAACTGATATTGAGTGAGTGTAGAATGAAATGTTCTGTACAGTTTTCTTGGAGTTTAATAACTGATGTCGGCCCACGATATTATACATGTTGTGTTTCAATGCAATGATTGAAAAGGGATGTGAGTGAGTGAGTGAAGGTTGGTTTGTGAGTGAGTAAGTGATTGTGTGTGTGCGTGAGTGGGTGGGTGGGGGGTGAGTGAGAGAGTGAATAAGAGAGTGAGTGAGTGAGTGAGTGAGTGAGTGAGTGAGTTTAATGACTTGATCAAGTTCTCCAGTTATACGGCAACTGATCTAATTGATATACCTCCCGCATTACAAAGCATTGTTTGTATCAACGATTGATAGTTGTAGTATGAATGAGTGAGTATTATTGTAAGCTGTTTTTACTAATGTTGCTGGAAGATTAATATATTGTAGTGTTCACATGTGTATCTTGAGGGTGATATGTGTATGTTGTGCATACTGAGCCTGTAATGTGTTTGTCGAGAAGATGGAGAAATGACAGCTACAGACATGTGTTTGAGTGGGCTAATATATAAAGTATCTGATCGATAACATATTGATATTTAGAACACAAAGACGTTCTGGTTTAGAAGTTTCAAATTCTGTGAATATGCCTGAAAAGTAGTAACTGGCAGATCAAAATCAATGAATTTAATCTCCATCTTACATGTACCTATCTTACCACTTCTCTCTCTTACATAAGAGATTTCTTCAATGAGTAAATCTCTGTATTTATTCAGGATCTGTGATATTTCAAAATTCAGAATTTACTGCCTGAAGAAATTAATGAAACATGTAGGAGTGAAAGTGGCTCTGTGTTTTTTTTCAGTCTAATAAATTAAATCTAACTGTATACTTGTGAACTATATATATGTATGCGTGTGCGTGCGTGCGTGTATATTCATTTGTTTCCTTCTGTTAGTAGATCTAGAGTGCCACGCTTAAACTGTTATTTGATCTCTCATCTCTATATGTATGTATTTTAGTGATGTCTGTATGAACCACTTGCAGCAGATTTCCTTTTGTAATTTAGCTTTATTAATAAACATCTACAGTATTTTAACACAGTATTAATTATATGACATGCACCACATTTGTGTCATTGGTTTTTTTCTTTAATAAATATAAATGATGAATAAAAATGTGTTTTGCATTCCTGTTGGCTTTACCTCATTTATGTACACACAAGGCAAAAAGTATCGCAATAGCCCATATCTTTTATAGTACGAATATATTAACGTATATAGCAAATAAACTTATTGAAACCTCAATTTAGCCTACTATCTGATTAAATGAACAATTAAAACTTGGGGTGATGATAACTATGGTCGTATGAATATAGGTTCGGTCATGTTCAAGATTCTCTCATACAATCCTCAAGAAATAACACACATGTACTCAATCATACCTGGTGTCATCAGTCGTCCATTGACATTATTTTCAAGGGTATTTTGCCCTTTACCCTAGATAGTAGGGTAAATGGCAAATGTCACTAATGTCACTTTTTAACATTGAGTGTCTAAACTTGCAAATAGCTGAAGATATGCAGGAAGCAAATCTACTTTAAGTCCCAGGGTCCCTTGTATGGTGATCGGCCTTCACTTATTGACAAGCTGTCAGTGGCTGTACCCTCACGGGTGGTTGAAATATTTTAAAATTATTGTCCTCCTGTGGATGTACGTAAGTCCCAAAATATTCAAGGTAAATTAAACGTACAGAATTCTTAAAACGCAGTATTTTTGTGTTTTTAAGTTATGGCTAAATTTAACTACAATCACCAGCGGCTGAGGGGATGATATAAATCCGCCTAGGGTCCATGTAGGTAGCCAAAGTACTATAAGTTCCCATGGTCTCTAGTATGGTGATCTACGTTCAGTTGCTGGTGATCTACATGTATAGCCCGTATTTATAGTGAATCGTGTATACCGATAATTAATTGTTCTCATCACGATATGGCTGAAATATTGCGGATGTGACGACAAATATTAACTCACTCACTATTGACTAGGCATAGCCTGTCTTTACATTTTTTAGATTTACATACCACTTTTATATTCATATCTGTGATTTTCTTGTTGTTTTACTGTCGTTAGCAGTTTTTTTAATATAATCTAGCTGTATGTCTTATGAATTTATAAATCGTTTTTGTCACGTTATGGCTAAAATACTGCCGATGAGACTTAAAATCTTAACACTCACTCACTCGCTCTTTAAACAGTATCTATATTTTCCTTGCTATTATTTTCTACGGGTTTGTCGATTTACACTGCGTTGTAGTTTTTGTCGCGAAATTGCCATTTTGAGCAGTGACACATGGTATTTTACGACAATTAAGTAGTCATATAGTTAGTATCATAATACTTTACAATATAATATAGTCTTGGACGGATACAAACGAAGGCATCTTCCTGGTCCGAATCAAAACAATGGAGTGACACGAGAGATCGATTCATGATATATATATATATATATATATATATATATATATATATATATAACACATATATCACAACACAAAACCTATCTGTGAAGTGTACACTCAGCTTCCTGGTCTAATAAAACCTCTTGGGCATTTGATGTAGCATTCCCTTCCTGGTTGATATAGCGTGAACTAATGAAATGGAGAAGGGTTATGTGGAGGGGAAGCCTAATGAGAGAGACCGGCTGATGAGACTGTCAGCTTCATATTGTGTAAATGAAAAGGGAAGCGAGCAGTTGCTACTTCGAGTTTGTGTTGATCCACGACTAGTGTTTCCCCAAGGCATTTCTACCAGAGTGCTCTGCCCTTTTTATTAGGCGCCCCGCCCGTCGTTGTAATACAATAATTGATTTTAACACTTGGCGATTTTACTTTCTATTTCGTGTTCAAGTTAAATGAAATAAGAGTGATGTTTACAAAAACGTGTAATCCAAGCCCATGCTCATCTAAAGACAACTTACGTAATGTATTTTACAAATATCCATCTTCACTGGCGGGTTTACATTCACTACATGCAATGTTCGACTGTTCAACATCTACAATTCCCTAAATCAAGGCCTGTGAAGATCCGGGTTAGAATTGGTCTTCAGTAAACCATACTTGTCTTAATAGGCGACTAACGGGATCGGATGGTCAGGCTCGCTAACTTGGTTCACACATGTCATCGTATCCCATTTGCGTAGAATGATGCTCATACTGTTGATCACAGGGTTGTCTGGACCAGCCTCGATTACTTACAGACCGCCACCATACATTGCTGGAATAAAGTTGAGTGCGGCGTTAAACGACAAACCAACCACCCAACCCTAAATCAAGCATTTTCATCATAATATATACTGATCCCGCTTTTCTTGTGATGAAGCCTGCCCCTGCCTACTTCAGTCACTCTCAAATATTTAGATACATATGGGACTGAAATATGTAGTAAGTGAGTGAGTGAGAACGTTGTACATATATAAATGAATATAAGGAAAGTTAGCAAATATACTTACCTGTCTGCAGAGGACAGTAAAACAACCAGATTATCACAGAAATACATTTAAAACTAGTTATGAAATCTAAAATACTTGAAATATAAAAGACAAGACAATATAAAAACAGGCTATTGGTCGCCAACAACTGAAAGTAGATCATCACACTAGGGACCATGGGGACTTACAGCACATTTGCTTCCTGCATGGACCCTAACTGGATTTATACAATCCCTTCAGCTATTGGCAATTTTAGATAATCTAGCCATAAATTGAAATAGCATATATGCTACGATTAAAGATAGTGGTAGGTTTAAATTTACTTTGAACTATTTTGGGACTTACGTACGGAAGCGTAGTAGGGCCACGGTGAAAACTAGAACTTAATATCTCCTACGTAGAACTTAGTATCTCCTACATAGGACATACTATCTCCTACGTAGGACTTAGTATCTCCTACGTAGGGCATACCTTATCTCCTACGTAGTACTTAATATATCCTTTTTAAGGATGGTTATTAAGTTGAGAAATGTTTGGTTATGCAGGACGTTAGATAGTCGAAATGTGAGTCAGTGAATATTCATGACACTAACGCAGTGTTACTATACAGTGTTATTGTGTGTGTATTACGTTAGGGTGACGTGGACCCTGTTCTAATTGCAGTTATGGAGGTTTGGGTATGGTTATGTTTAATCTATCATACATACATCTATTCACACACACAAACACACACACAAACACACACACACACACACACAGAGGTGGGTGGGATGGTTGGGGTGAGGTTGTGATATGAAACTCGGGTTATAA